CCCCCCCTCAATTGAAGGAGGGAGCGGGTCACCCTGAAGAGGGAGGCCGGGCGGTTATCTGATGACGCAATGAGGGTGGAGTAGTAATTAGACCTCGCCACCCTCATCGCCACAAGGTAGGATCTAACATGCAATGATACATGTGCTTAGTCGCTTTGTCTTGATGCTGCCATATTTTATCATGTACTTTTGCTGCATGAGCTGCATTAGATTATTAAAGTCTCTGAGTGCAATTCAAGTTACTGGTTGCTATCTATGACATCTTATGTGGCTCAGAGCCTGGATATTTTAGAGACCGCCTTTCCCCATTAGTTTCTGTCAATCCTATTGGATAATAAGGGAGTGCCCGACAAGGATTTTCATCTCTGGCAAATATTCTTTGCAGCCTCCCTTCTTTAGAAAGACTTAACCCCTTAAAGCACACATAGACCCCACCCACATGGCATTCCAGAACCAACATAATATGTAGCTCTTCTAGAAAGGCTTTTGGGGATTAATTATAACCAACAGGACTATACTGAACTATTGTATTTCAGTTTATAATTTTACTATTCAATTGGAAAATTAGGTTATGGTTATGAATTTTATGATTTTTAAGAAATCACAATATGATTATGATTGTAAGTTTTGTCCAGGTTTCAAGCAATAAACAAATTGCATTAATCAATGTAGAAATATAGAAATAAAATATAGATTTAAGAGTTTTGTAGTAAAATGCCATCCTTTATTCTCCTATGTAGAGTCATTGATTCACCTTGTTTGTTCAACATAGCTGCGTGTGTGTGTGTGTGATATTTAAGCAGAAATAGTAAAATAATGCCTGAATCCAAATATATTTCAACGGACATTTGTCTGCAATTTAGCTTACTGCTGAAAATATCCTTAATGTTACTTAGTGAATTACTTGTTAAAGTTAATTAATGTTATTTAACTAGAATGAATAGGGAAATTTACTGGACCAAAAAGTTCTGGTGTTACTCTTAACTCAATTATGATCCATCACTGGAAAATTTAATGCATCTGAAGATATTAATTTTAAAAATGCTGGGGCTTTTGGGAAGTGCTCCAACTTTATGAATTAAAGATTTCATCTGCTTTAGCAAACTCTTCATTTGCAGTATAGAGTTTGGTGTAATAATGAATGCACAGGGGAAAAAATAATGAGTAGAGAACAGAGATGTCAAATAATTTACTCAAATATATACTGCAGTTCCTGAAGCTTTCAATATTTTATTGGCATTTGCTTTCTTGATATGTTTTTCAGATGTTAGAGTTCAGCAACAGAAAAGTACAGGTAGTCCTCGACTTACAACCATTTGTTTAGTGATCATTCAAAGTTACAACAGCACTGGAAAAAGTGACTTATGATCATTTTTCACATGACCATTGCAGCATCTCCATAGTCACATGATCAAAATTTGGGCACTTGGTAATTAACATGTATTCATGACNTTCATGACAATGGCAGTGTCCTGGAGTCACAATTTGCAACTCTTCCAGCTAGCTTCTGACAAGCAAAGTCAGTGGGGGAAGCCATATTCACTTAACAACCACATAATTCAGCTAGCCCTTAACAAATGTGCCAAAAAAGTCATAAAAAGAGGCACAATTCACTTAACAACTGTCTAGCCTAGCAAAGGAAATTTTGGGCTCAATTGTGGTCATAAGTCGAGGACTACCTGTATACTATATTCTACATGTCTATTTTTTCTTTCCAGATTTTCCCCCCTCATTCATTTCAGTTTTTTTTATTGCAACAATCAGTTAAATGGGTTGAATCCATCCATTTGGATTAAGTTGCACGGATATAACTAACACTTTTGGCTTGGATGGGATTCCATATAGGTGGGTGATTTCTGTTCATATTATTGAAGCATGTCACTTTTTGTGAGTTTACTAATAATGTTGTTCCATTTCTAAGTTTAGCTATACTGCAATTTTAAACTCAAATGATGTCCTTCAAATCAAAATGAATTTGGATGGTCATTTATGAATATTTTTCTATAACAAGTATGATCTTATGAAATATCCTGTAATAGGATTTGATACATTTAAAGATCTTCTTCATATTAGTTGAAGAATATAAAATATGAAAGACAGTATAATGCTAAAACACTCATTATTCCAGGTGATATAATCAGGAACAGAAATTCCCAAAAAATATATAATTTCTTAAGGAATCCAGATTACAGTCTAACAAAACTCATGCTCTAATAAGTAAGGTTTTGTTCTAAAAATTGAAGACAGCTACACTTCTGGAAATACTACAAGAAAATTATGTTCTGTTGTCCAGGTATCACCACAGTATTAACCATGACAACTCTGAGCACCATTGCAAGAAATTCCTTGCCACGTGTTTCCTATGTCACTGCAATGGACCTTTTTGTGACCGTATGCTTCTTATTTGTCTTTGCTGCTTTGATGGAGTATGCAACCCTGAACTACTACTCAAGTTGCAGGAAGCCACACTGTACAAAAAAGAAAAAGTCGGTAAGATAAAGTCCTATTGAAAATGGAGCACAATTCTTCTGCATTATCACAGAAATTAGTAATCAAGTGGATTTAGACCTTAAATAAAGATTTTGGTTAATGCTGTCTAATAAGAGGAGTTTGCTGTAAGAGTCCTCTTACTAGAAATGCACTGAATTAGTGCATTGAAATGATTTCACCACGTTTATTTTATTCTTTTTCATTTTATCCCAACTGAAAATAACAGTCATGAGATGTGCAGCTGTATAAATATGATTGATTGATACTAATTTTAGTGTACTATACAGGAATTCTGGGATCTGTATATCTAATGTAAAATGGCCATGCCTAATAAATTATTGCATTAATTATAACAAATTCATCAATTAGAATAATGGCAGTGGATTATCAGTGACAAGGATCTGGTCTTAGTAACTGTTCAGTGCAGTCATGCCTCTACTGACAACCATGCATTCAAATTCTACTATGATTTTACTCAACCTAAAGCCCAGCTGCTAGAAACAATTGCATTATTTTGAAGTTGGTTTCTTGCAAAACTTTGATCTGTAAATAATACTAATATAGACCATGAGAATCAACAATGACTTGATGCCACTTAATCAATTAGTGTTAATATAGTTTTAAAACAAAGAAATATTTCAAAAGTAGAAAAACAACAAATTTCTGGCTTTGCTCATATATATATAGCCCAATACATTTCCATTATTTCCCTGCTCGCTGCAATCTTTCCACCTCTATAAAGCATCTGTGAGATTGCTCACATTTGACACCAAATAAAGTTTAGCAGACTCTTAATTGGTATTGATGTTCATACAAATAGGAATGATTAGGGCACTAGGCTATCAAAGCCCCATAATACAACACTGCAAATGTGGTGATTTTTCAGTTAACTAGAACCTATAATACAAATCTCTTTTTTGTTTCTTTGTTTGAACAAGTAGAATTTACTCCCATAGATCACTTCCCTGTTATCTCAATTTTTTTAGAAAAAAAATAGTTACTTTGTTTTAAATTCCAGAGAATATATGTGTTCTGTAGGCAAGAAATTAATATTTGAAAATTCACTTCTACTTGAAATCAACACAAGGGTTAGGATTAGGACTGGGATTGGGGTTAGGTTTACAGAAAGATTGGTGGGTAGCTACAGGTGAATCATATGGCTTGCTCTGCTGAGTTGAAGATCTCAATTTAAATTAAGCATTTCCCAATGATATCCATGAAAAGGTAAAAGCATATATGTTGTCTTAGAATTCAGGGGTGTCAAACTGCCGGCCCTTAGGCTGGATGTGTCACACTAAAACCGTGCCCACCCCATTGCCAGCAATGGGAAAAAAGTCACAATACATCGCGACATGTCACGTGACATCACGAGTTTGACACCCGTGTCTTAGATCTTGTTGTATAAGATGGACACTTATCAGAAATAAATGGGATAAGACAACTCTATTCATGTTTACTCAGCATGTTTATTCAAAGTAAACACAAAATTGTGCTGTTAAGTACTGATGGAACCTTTTATGATTTCATTAATAATTAAAATATCAAAAAAAATTATAATGTTTTATAACTTGTGTTCTTATACTTTATTTTTTTATTTATTTGAGCTGCCTGATGTCAGCTTTGGTCACATGATGGTGAGTATGAATATTTTAAAACTTAGTTTTTTATTTATAACATCATATATTATAAAATGCATTATAATTTTAATTAAACAACTATTATTATTACTCAGTCTTAAAGAACCATGCCATCATACCACATCTTAAATCTGTTATATTCCCACTAACCATTTCACATGGGGAGATCAACAAAATTGTCTTTGGGTTGTTGCCCACTATTCAATTCAAGTGCTGAGTTCACCTATAAATCCCTGATTCATCAAAAACATTATTCCAATACAACATTTGCTTCAGACTTTGCCCATCCCTATTCTGTGTCTGTTTCCAATCATTGCTTGATGTCAATGCAAGGGAATATATGGCGAAGCCTAATTCTCTTTATACACTTTGAGGTTCCCCTTGCATGTATCTTGGCAAATAAAGTGTCAAAGGAAAACTGGACAACATGGTTTCTTTGGATTGCCTGTATTAGACCCAGGAAACTTCAAACTTCTGTTGCCATGGTACAGCCTCTTTGTCTCTTTTTTTTCTGCAGAATTACTCTGTGTTAGAGATGAGACCTCCCCCTACAGTCATTGCACTGAACAATGCCATGTACTGGCAAGAATTTGAAGACAATTGTATCTACGAGTGTCTGGATGGGAAAGACTGTCAGAGTTTTTTCTGCTGTTATGAAGAATGCAAAGCGGGCTCCTGGAGGAAAGGGCGGATACACATAGACATCTTAGAACTAGACTCTTATTCCAGAGTCTTTTTCCCCACATCGTTCCTGCTTTTTAACCTGGTCTACTGGGTTGGATACCTCTATCTCTAGAAACAATGACGAAAACTGTGTTTTTCCTACTTCTTAGGGATGGGGATTTTGTGGAAAGACAGATCCTGAATGGTTTTATTGGAAAGCCTGAAAGGTCACCTCACTTTTTCTCATCCAAGAAAAAGTTTTTATTCATTGTTTTGTCGAAAATGAGAAAATTCACTTCACATCTGAATTTTTTGCTAACTACCCCTGACACGATCATGTAACAATGTTTACATTAATTGTTCTCATACAATGGAGAAGTTTCTGTTTTCTTTGGGTTACAGTTAACTATGTAGCATACAGATAAGCAAGATAGGGATATTTTGATTGGTCATTCTTATGTTACTTCTGTCTTTTAAACTTGTTCTGGAAGCAAGTTTTTATTGGTACAAGTTATCCACAATTTTGTTTTGAGGAGAATCTGAGTTCCATGAAAAGTCACTTCAGTTCACTTCATGGGTTTCAGGTGGTCTTCCTTTGAGATGAAAAGGCATAAGTTCAAAAAAACAAAAACAAAAAACTCTTTACATTTGTTTTTCACAAAATTGTTGAATTAAGCTTTCTTTTAATACAGAGTTTAACATTCCACATATTGGGCAAATACTTCAGGAAACTAACTGATTTCTGGAATAACACTCTTGCAATATGATAATGCTTAGTTTGCTTTTGGTACTGTGTAAGATGACTTTCTATGTAATAGTAGTGGAAAGGTATGATTCATTCCAAGCTACAGGTTAATTTCTTTCATACTTTACTATTTGTTTTCACTGATATTTTCAGGGTGAAAAAGCCCTCTAGTTCCAGCTTGAATAAGATCTACTGTATCTGTGCTAATTAAAATCCATGTGCCTCAATCACTGTTCTGTGTAGGTTAAATTGCACATCCTATTGTTGCACCATTTGACTTGTGAACTGGATTTTTCCATTTAAATGACTGCAGAACTGCTTGCTATTAGCATCCTCACCTGGTAAGTGATCTTTGGATTGGCATAACAGTGGCTTTTGTTCTTAGCAGATCAGTAGAATCCTTAAGAATGCAGACAGGATTTTCTTGGCAAGAAAATGAGATGTTGGGAGTTCAGTTAAAAGTTAAAAAATTTAGTGATGCAGAATCACTAGGACTTTTTTTTAAACTAGATTTTAAACTGGAAATGTATTTTGTACTTTTGGAACATATTTCAGATATTAAATTCCTGAAAATAATACAGTCTTCTGTTGTAAAATATTCATAGCCAAGCCCAATTCTAGAAGGCTAATTAAATGTCTCAATAGTTATTTATTTATTTGATTGTTTACTTATTTGTATTTCTACTGAAAACATATATTTACTGTTAAAAAAAGTTTGCTCTCCCTGCCCCCTCTCAAACTCTAAGCATAACAGTATTTTTAAAAGTGTAACTCTGATACTATCAAATGCCTTTTTTTCACTGTCAACCTAAGGACTCATTTTACTTGCTCCAAATATTTAAATACCGTGCACACTTCATATTGTTCTATATTGTCTCCTTTTCTTTTGGAACTTAGTATTAAGGACTTATTCAAATGTTCAAGAAATGAATATTTAATATCAAAATTATTGGTAGGAAACAGAAAGTACAATTGTTTGATAGTAAAATGTACTTTATAAGAAGAGGGCATAAATTTCAATTCCAGGCATTTTCAGATAGAGCTGAGAAGAACTATCTGAACCACACAGAGATCTGTTGTTATTAAAACACGGCAGTTAGCTAGACCAATGATTTGATCTAAAATAAAGTTTTACTGTCTATTACATATTCTAAATTCAGGTTCACTAGGTAATGCTTCAGAACTGTAAATGCTAATTCAATAAGATTGCTGGATTAAAAAATGTACTAAATTTTACCAAATGTTTTCCAAAAATATACGTGTTTATTTTAGATGAAAAAACCCAGACAATTTATTAGCAGACGTTGAAGTCTTTCGACTTAAATATTGATATTGGATTTTTTTTTCAGTTCATTTCTTCTCAATTTTTACAAAACTTCAAGAACCAAAGTGCATTTTTTTCAGAAAGATGCATTTAATTTAAAGAATATATAGTAAAACTCACACAAGACACTGTTACAAAAACAAAGAACTACAGTGTTAAACTGATGGGCTATGTAAATATGAGAATAATTTTCTGGCAAAGGATCCTGTAAACCCTCAGCTAGTGAAGTTAAATTGAGCTTACTGCTTGTTGCTATCATGATTGCACTTTCTTTTTAGGATACTGCAATCCTAATTTGTTTAAATTAACTGGAAACATGACACAGAGTAGAATAATTGCTGAGAATTGTCACACTGTAGACAAAATGGCATACTTTATGTGCAATTTCATAACATATATAATCAGAACACATATTTTATAGGCTATGACTTGTATATTTGTCTCACTTTCTATTGTATATCATCTAAACAAGACATTTGATACAATCAAATAGAAAATAAAGTTGTGCTCACAAACATAGTGCCCTCCCCCAGCCTCTGGAATCAAAGCATATTAATTTAGCCAAACTATTTTGTACATGTCTTGGTTAGTGTGAATGATATAAAGATTTTCTTTCATGATCTCTAAAATCGGTTATAGACAAGTTGCACTTAATTCACAAGCTAATCAGATATTTTGGAATTTAAAATACTTTGAAAATAGTTTTCTTCCAAGGAGTGTTGAAAAGTAGCAAATTCCCTCTTTATTATTTTTCAGAGGCAGAATGAGTGCAGCTGTCGTTTGTTGAGCAGTGCCAATCAAAACCTGTAGCCATACATAGTTGGTGAAACTCCTCATTTTCAGACTTGACATTCCTCATTTTCTGGTTAACTCATGGGTGGATCAAGGCATGTTTCAATGCCACTGGTTACATTGCAAGTGATTTATATTTGCATAGCAATTAACTCTTTTTCTTCAGCAGAATCATAGCTTTTTCTCCCTACTTCCCAAGAATACTCTTGGATCTGAGCCAAAAAAAACCCAGTGAATCACTAGGTGGTACTAAAAAGCTTGGGTTTTCTGCATGACTTTGCAGTCATCCAATGGACATCCAGGATTGCAGTCTAGATCTGATAACCCTGACATTGTACAATTAATGCATTGCATTATTTCAATTTTCCTGTTTGAATTAAAAACTTAATGTGAAATATTATAATATTATAACAGCTACGAAAAAGTCCCTATAATTTCTTTCCAACTGAAAATATTTACATTCTAACTGAATCTACTGCTACTGATTTCTTTGCTTATCTTTTGAATTACTGTGCTCAACCTGTCTTCCTATCCTTTATTTATTTTTAGAGACAGTTCACTGTTCCGTGAACATTTTTTGTGGTCTTCAATAGCCATCATGAATTATTCTTTTTTAGTATCTACAAGGCAAGTTTTAGGAAAGTGATCTGTGAGCAAAGTGCAATTGTTTCACAAAAATACAACTGATGCCAGTATTGTTTATTTTTATTGTCTTATGAAACACTTTTCCTTGAGGAGTACAACCAGCCAAGATTGAGCAGATGGAAACAAATTATGAAACTTTTCAATTAATTTATAAAGGCTCCTTATAGAGTAATGGCTTTAGAGTTTATTATTTTTGTATTTTTGTTCCACATAATGTGTAGGATCTTTTTTATTATTAATGTTATTTACTTAGAAATCTGTTTACATGGTTACTAGGCATCAAGACTGAGTTGATGATACATAGTTATAATCATTACTTAAAAATGCATTATCTAATTTTCATCATTAATAAGTAATCCCAATCTTGCGGTATCAAGATAAAAACATATTACTGGTTAAAACCATAATAAAGAATAGCAGGTATGAAAATCCAATGGCAAAAGCAATTAACACTGACAAGCTGGTCTGGAAGCTTTCAAAGCTTGGTGTTGGCCCCTAATAAACAGGGAGAGGATGTCTCGATTGGAATACCTTTCTCTAAAAGTCATGGAGAATCTTTCTTGATCACACTTGCCATTGAGTGATATACCATGGTTCAAAAGGTGATCAGAAAAAGTGGATGACCTCAGAACAAAAACCAAATTTAATAGTGTTAGTGTGATTATTCTCCTGAATTTAATTTAATTTTGCACATTAAACGTGACACTGAAGGCTTCATATTTCCTCTTCCAATTAACATAATCCAGAAAGCTGCATTCATACAACACAGTTGTTGATTATCGGTGCAAGTTAAGGATCCAATTAATATTTTTTTTTAATCAGGCTTTCTTTCTTTCCTAAACTACAGCTGTTGAATATCTTGTAAGTAAATGTTCTTAACGTACTTCATTCTTCCCTAATCTGATAACTCTGAAATGAATTGAAGCATAGTCCCCCATCATCCCAACCAGCATTGTGTCTGTCATTCAGACTGGAATTAAGGAAGTTGACTTTATATGCAATTATTGCTTTACAAGTAATATTGGTAGCCTCTGTTTGTTTATCTGTTAATGTTTATTTATTCATTTATTCTGTTTATATACCATATGTTCCAAATCAACAAGTTGATCCCCCAGAATTAAATATAAAAAGGAAAGGACACTTAGTCTGTAGATCAGGGCTGTCAAACTGCCGGCCCGCAGGCCGGATGCATCATAGCAAAACCGCGCCCACTCCATTGCTGGCAATGGCAAAAAAAGTCATGATACATCGTGACACATCAGGTAATGTCATGAGTTTGACACCCCTGCTGTAGATGTACAATTTTGATCCACTGTGAATTTTCAAATAAGCTGTCTATAGTCATACTATCAAATTGAGCATTTGTTGAGCACTTACTGCCTTGTAGAAGTACTCACATCTTTACAGGATTTACCTGTTCAATTATCCTGACCGTGGGTCTTAATTTAATGCCCTTCCCCCCCTCCCAGTAAATAAAAAAATTGGGTTGATTCATACAGACTATTAAAAGTTAATGGCACTACACAATATCTTGTAGATCTAGGAGTCTGGCTGGAATTCGGAAATAACTTTCTAGAGTAAAAGTATAGTTGCCCCCTTAATTTCAATGAACTACCAAGGAAATTAT